TTTTTTTTTTTTATAAAGGGAGATTTTCTAGCATACCACCTAATGAGCTTTCCATGTACCAAATGTCGAGAAATGTTGTATTTCATCATTGAAATGAATTTTATGTGTTTGTATATAGAAACCGTTCAGACCGATGTGATGAACTCAAGAGATTGGAGTCAGCATACTTGGCGTTGCAGGAACAGGTAGAAAATGTAAAGCATAAAAACGAGCAGTTGGAACGGAAAAGAGGGCAAAGCTTGTTCAGGTATGTACTAAACTAGCTATATACATACATGTACAAACTAGACAACCACATATATTATGGAATATATTTGTAACATTTAAGGGTAAATCTGTTTTATAGAATCATCTTACTCTTCCCCATTCAAGAGTTGTTAATAGTTTTGTTAACATCTTGTCGTAATTTTCAGGGCCAAGGCGCTTCGTCAGTATTTGACCACATTGAAGCAAAGGTCCAAGGAGGTGGTGGAATTCTTACGAGAAGACCGCAAGATTTTAGACGACTTGGTATTGACTGTGCACCGCTCAAATACCGCTTCAACTATCAACTTGGGTAGCATAGTAGACAACCTCAGAGACATGTACGACCAGTACGAGGACGATGAGAGCCAGCGACTGTACTTGATGGACTTTATGTTCGAGTGAGTGTGTAGGATATAATATAATGCCTAAATGTAAACATAGGCAAAATTATTTTGCTACACAAAAAATTTGCTGTTTCCGTTTTACAAGTGTGTAATTACATAGTAGATTTACACTTAGCCGATCACATTTATATAGTTTTGTTAGTATAAGATATATWWTAGTGAATAAACCTTTTATGAAACTTGATAGTAAGAACATTATTTGTGTTTATATTGTGGTTTACAATTATGATAATTCTGTTTTTAAGTGAGTTATAGGAAATTTTAATTAAGAGTATTTTATATGCGAAACTTGCTAAAAATTTGAATTATTTATCATATAAATCAAGTTTTGTAATAAGTCGATTCATTCTAGTTAATTATACATAACTAAATGTGATCTGCTGAGCATAAATTTGGTATGTTAAGTACATGTAAGGCGGAGACACCATATATTTGTTATTTGTGTAGTATTATCTTAAAAAAAAAACCCTACATTTATTCTGTAGGAATTAGGTAGCTGCACTTGTACGTATGTTCATAATATGTTTTTGTAATTCTCTGTTTGTTTTGTTCGCAGAGAGGAAGCTCGAAACATGTGGCGATCACAAGAGGAACGGTGGCGGRGAGAACATGAGTTATGCAAGAAAGGAATAGATGAGCTGTTTGCCACAATAAAAACCCAAGTATGAACAGTTTGTAATTACGTTCAGATTGAAATGGTCATATAATTAATTTTTGGAAAATTTTAAGGGAAATTGGGATGGTGATTTGGCTACAACAATAATATATTTATATTATGTTATATTATAATATATGCAACATTAGCTTCTTTTTATTTTTTTTAGTTGGAAGAGAACATAGATAAGTGTTTGGATGAACAACGCATTTTGATCGGTGAACGAGAACAACTGATAGACATCATAGAAAGGGGCAATGATGAACTGAAACGGTTGGAAGCAGAGTCAACTGAATTCTATGAACAGCATCCAGACTACTGTGGCAGTAATGACAACAACAATAATAATGTACATTCAACGGTAAACGCAATCTAGAGAATCTTATAATCTTAGTAAATTGTTTTTTTTTTTATAGGATTCTATTGACTTTAGACAATTTGAAAAGACTGCAATGAAGGTAATGGATCGCGAACAAAAATTGCTGGTAGAAATGGCTAAAATGAATTTATTGGATGATCCCAAATTTGCAGTGAGTTATAAGTATTTGATTAATTTTCTTAATTTTGGACCATGTAGCTCTACAATCAAACATGAATTACAAATTTAACGCATAGTAGATTAAATATATTTGTAATAACTAATAATATTGGTTCTTCTTTATTTTCAAAATATATGGTTTAACATTATTTGTATGTCTCATAATTATTTGAAATAATTTTTTTTATAACATTATCAACTAGATAAGATTATGTTTTCAAATAATATACATTTTATTTTTAACTTTTAAAATTTAATAGGTACAGAAATTTAGATATTTAAAACTTAAATTTTTTTTTTTTTTATTAAATTGATTTAAGTCAAAAATATTTTACGTATTATAACATTAGGAAATTAAAATGAAAATGATTAAGCTTGAATGCAATTTTTATTTTTAAATTTTACTTTAATGTAAAAATTAATTTTTAATATTGTCTAGTTGTACTGCTAAATCATTAACAATAAACCAATTAAAACACAATATTTCAAATGAATTTGTTTACACTAAATGATTAGTTATGAATAAAGATTGGATTTAATTGATATTGCTACTTTTTTTGCAGATAAGATAAACCAAATCTGATCAAATGTATAGTCAATATATACTTTATATATAATATCTATTTAATTTTATAATACAATTTTTTGCAATTTTTACAATTTTTACAATTTTGGTTTTGTGTGTTTACATATACAACATATTTAACACAACTAAATTTATTGTATAAAAATGCTATTAAACATACCGAGTTTTCATGTGAGCAGATAATCTGTGGTTGTACCATAAAACTATTATTAAGAATTTTATTAT